TTTTTTTTTTTTTTTTTTTTGCAAGCCAGATTATAGGTTAGTTTCCTTCCTAAATATGTAAAGCTTTCTACATTTTCAATGTTTTTCTAGATGAGAAAAACATTGGAATTATTTTTCTCATTGTTTTACTAGATGAGAAACATTTTAGTAGATGACTAAGATGTTTCTTGTTATGTTGTTATCACCAAATATCATTGTCTTAGTTTTTTCGCTATTGTTAATCAGTCCATATCTTTTTTCTTCTTCATTAAGCAGATGTAATGTTTTCTCTAGTTGTTCTTCACTTTCTTCAATGATAACTATGTCATCTGCAAATCTCAGGTTATTGAATTTTACAGCTTGAACTGATGCTCTCTGCATCTCTTGCGTCATCTTATTCATGACTCTTTTTTAGAGACTTATGAAGATAATTGGGGATATAGGATTTCCCTGTCTGGTGCCTCTTTTTGGTTTGAACCAGTTTCCTAGCTCCCCATGCAATCTCAGAGCTGCTGCTGCATTATCATTAATATAACTTAGCAGGTTTAATACTTTACGATCCACTCCATAAGATTTTAGCACTGCCAAGATGGCTTTTTGGTCTATACTGTCAAATGCCTTCTGAAAGTCCACAAAGCAGGAATAGATGTTTTTCTGCTTTCTTTTTGTCTTTTCAACTAATAGATGTAATGTTACTATCTGCTGCATTGTACTTCTGTCTTTCTTGAAATCTGCCTGTTCATCTGCTAAATGTTCTTCCATCAAACTACTTAGTCTCTCCTTTAAGTTCATCAACAAAATTTTTCTTATGTGGCTTGTTAGGGCAATTGCTCTATAATTTTTGCACCCTTACACGCTGTCTTTCTTATGTATTGTCACCAATACTGATTTTGCCCATTCTTTAGTTATCTTTCCTTGTTTCCATACCTCATTGCACACTTGGTGTATCTTGTCAATTAAGCCTTCTCCTCCATGCTTAATCATTTCTCCTGTGATTTTGTCATGTCTGGGACTCTTATTGTCTTTTAACCGTTTCACTACCCTTTCAACTTTGTCCCTCATAATATCATTCTCCTTTTCAACACTTGGTGGCAATTCCTTAATTCATCTACTAGATTTTCTAATATATTTGTATCTAACATTTCCTTGTATAGTTTAGAACAATAACTTGTCCACCTCTAGGACTTCCACTCTGTCCACTAAAACTTCTCCCTTCTCATCTTTGATTGACATTTGCTTTGATTTCCATTTCTGGTTGACATTTCTGATCATCTTATATACTTCTCTAGTCTTGCATTCTCCATAATATTTTTCTATGTTTCTACACTGATCCTCTAGCCATTTTGCTTTATCCATTCTAACTGCTTTTTTCACTTCATTGCACTTTACTTTATACTGTTTTTCCAGCTCTTCAGAAATGTCTCTTCTAAGCCTAAGAGCAAATCGTTTGAGACTGCATATTATAATATCAAAAAACTTACTAACACACCTTATCTTGCAGCCGAAGTTTATAAGAGCTCTTTTATCTTGGACAAGCTTTAGCGTCTCTTGTGTGATCCATTTATTGTTGATTTTTTCTTCTTCTGGTAGGGTCTGCTCAATTGCTTCTCTTATTTCTTCCACTCTTGTGTCTAGCTCTTCCATCCTGTCTACGGTTTTTATCTTCTTCTCAAGTGTATTTCTATATATGCTCCCTATTTTCTCATCTTTTAGCTTTGAAATATCTCTTTTCTTTTGGAAATGTGCATTAACTTTCCTCTTCAGTTTTATGTTTATGTTTGCAATGACTAAGCTGTGATCAGAATCTATGTCAGCTCTCTGAAAGGTTCAATACTGTTGAACTTATGTTGACCATCTCCTTTGGATCAATCATTTTTCATGTTGTTACATCACTTGATCTCCATGTCCATTTTCTACAGTTCTTTTGCTGGAATTTGGTGTTGCATATCATTAAATCTTGATATACGGCAAATTCAAGCAGTCTTTCCCCTCGTTCATTCCTTGCTCCATATCCATAGTTGTCCATTACTCTTTCCCAACCTTCATTATTATTTCCAATCTTAGCATTCCAGTCACCTCCAATGATGATCACATCTCTCCGCGGTGTTTTCTCTATTATCATGCTTAGATTATAAAGTTTAATCTCTTCTTCACTACTATCTGAGGTAGATGCATATACCTGGATTACTGATATATTAAATGGCTTTGCTCCAAATCGTGCCATAATCAATCCTGCACTAACTGGATTGTATCCTAACAATGCTGCTCGTGCTCTTTTACTAAGCAGAAATCCAACACCAGCTTCATGCCTTGTGTCATTTCCCAACCAGATGACTTCCCCATCATTCAGTTCTCCCGATGCTGTCCAGCGCATCTCTGCTAAGCCTAATATGTAGCATTGATATCTCTCCATTTCCTTCCAAAGAAGCTCTAGTGTTCCAGGTGACCATAACGTTCTGACATTCCAAGTTCCTACTGAAAGGACTCATGTTGCTGGGTGAAACTTTCTTTTCTTTCTTTCGGTAGCCAATTTTTCAACCCAACCCCGATTGCTTGGTTGGTGTCACGGACCTTGTTTATCCAGGTGATGTCTGAGCTGGCATCTTTTATCTTTTGATTGTATTGACATCAGATTTCATTCGTGCTGTTGTTTTATAGTTAGTGCATCAACACTCATCTAACAAACCCTCTTCCTTTTTCCAGACTTGAAACTGGCATGTTTTCCCTAGAAATTGCATGATGGAGTTATACAGTAAATATAATTAATTCATTAATCATTAATCAGCCAAAATGTTTATCAGTGGATCACTATTTCAGACTGCAGGGATTTGGATTAGTGAGATTCTGTAGAAAATGTAATTTTGCAACATCAACAATTTGTTAAATACAAATGCAGCAAATTTAAAGAAAAATTTCTTAATAATGCCCCAAATGCTATTGGAATTTCAAATTTGCATAAAATTAAATTTTTAGAAATTATTCTGTCTGTATGTGTTTTGCATATTTAATTTTAGAATATTTAAATATATTTATATGTCAGATATTCTATTAGGTTGTTCAGAAAGTAATTTCGTTTTTTTACCACTAGACAGATTAGTCGTATTTTCCCTGCCATTTTTATTCTAAACCATATTATCATTATATATTTTGACAGCTAGCATTTTAAGGCTTATTTGTAAAAAAATTTTGTTTGATTTTGTGCAATTGTTTATTTTTTGTGTCCCATCAAATATGGAAGATCGAAAGCAGCATTTTCGGCATATTTTGCTCTTTTATTACCGAAAAGGTAAGAATACTGTTCAAGCGAGAAAAAAATTGTGTGACATGTATGGGGAAGATGTATTGACAGAACGACAGTGCGAAAACTGGTTTACAAAATTTTGTTCTGGCAATTTCAATATTGAAGATACACCACATTCTGGATGACCACTTGAAGCCAATGAAAACAAAATAAAAGGTACTGATTGAAGCAAACTGCCGAATAACAACACGTGAAATCACTAAGAGATTAAATTAGTCAAATTGAACCGTTTATGATTACTTGAAACAAATTAGTTTCATTTCAAAGCTTGATATATGAGTTCCACATGTTCTTAGAGAGTTGCTCTCTTTGGTAGGATTTTAAGGAAATGTTTTTTTTTTTTGGAGCTTTTAACAAAACCAGACAATTTAACAATTGATTAGAAAGTGTACTGCCATCGAGTAAACAAATCGAGTAATATCATCAAACAGAAAAGGTGGCCAGAATTGATCAACAAAACAGGTGTAGTGTTTTACCATGATAATGTCAAATTTCACACAAGTTTGGTAACTCGTCAGAAACTGTTATAACTTAGATGGGACGTGCTATCGCACCAACCATATTCGCCAGATCGAGCACACTTGAATTATTACTTGTTCCGGTCTATACAAATTTTTTTTAACTAAGACATTTACTTGAAATGACAATGTCAAAAATCACTTGGATCAGTTTTTTGTAAGCAATGATCAAAACTTTTATGAATGTGAAATCATGCTACTACCAGAAACGATGACAACAAATATTTGACCAAAATGGTCGATAAATTATTCAACAAAATATTTATTTATTATAAAAATATTGTTTTTTCCCCATGGAAAAAAATGAAATTACTTTCCGAACAACCCAATAGTTTGTATATTGTATAGTAATAATAATTTGTGGATTATTTTCTTATATCATTATTTTATTTCTTATTATAAAGCCATATGAAGTTAACTCTAAGGTTCTTACAAATGAATACTTAAGTACCATGGAAGATTATTACAAACATACATTTTTAAAGGATTTCAGGTAATTATAAATCTCTGAAAGTTTATTTTATTATATACATATACAGTCAACAGTCAATTCCGCTTAATTGGGACACGTTGGGACTAATCCATTTTAGCCCAAGTAAGCAGTTGCCCCAATTAAACAAATTAATAATAAATTCTAAAATAAAATATCTAGTACATAGGTAAATAAACAAGTAGGTAAAAAATAATAATTAGGTATCTATTTTAATGCTTTATTAAACCAAAATACAGAAAATATTTGTACTATAAATTTGCCAGATTCACGACTATAGATAACTGATTTGCAACATGCTAGTGTTGCCAAATACAGTATTAGTAGTGATGTACACAAGTGTTGACTGTTCAATTTGTTCCTGATTGAATGATTTTTCCTTTCTCCCTTTTTAGTTAGAACATATTCTAAGTAAAAAGGGAGAAAGGAAAGGATTCGTCCAAAAGTCACCTTACGGTCTTTCTTTGAGCACAGTTTCCTTTACTTGGAGATGGGCCACTTTGGCAGAAGGATCTGTAGAATTCACAAGCTCTGGATGCTGATCTCAACTATCGGATGGCTCTGTCCAAATCTAGATGTAATCATACAAACAATATTTGAGTTGGAAGACAGTTAGAGTTCCCTTGGAAGATATCTTTCAAGGGAACTCTAACTGTCTTCCAACTCAGTCAAGAGAGCTCGAAAAATTGTCCAGGGATCTTTGTCCTTTTGCTTTTAAGGGGATAATCTGGTCCAACCTAGATCATGGGCAGTAAAAATTGCTAAATTCTTTTTCTGCTACTGTCCCAATTAAGTGAAAAGTTGTCCCAATTAAACGATCAAATTATGTATTAATTTATTAGTTTGGTTTCCATTCTTTGAGATTTGGCCCAATACAGCAGCTGCCCCGATTAACTGGTGGCCCAATTAAACAGAATCGACTGTGTATCAAAGAAGTTTAAATTTCTATGTTTAACAAAAATGTGAAAGTTCATACTGTGTTTTTATATTGAGTAACTTAAAAAATTATATGAATTACAGAAATGCATGACAAATTTAGTTCACGTATGATGATTTTTTAAATTTCTTTGGAATAAAACTAATAGTAATACAAAAACAGTTTTATATTGAAAACACAAAACCAGAATGCTATGATATATAGAGGTCCCTTTCTTATTTTTCTGTACTAAATTTGAGCTATCCAGCTCATCATCAGATACAATGAATTCTATCATTTGAATACTTAAAAGTCCATTAGACTTTTAATTTTTCAAGAATCTTTTCAAATTAAAGTCTAATGAACTTTAAGTATTCCAATGATAGAATTTATTGTATCTGATGATGAGCTGGACAGCTCAAAAAAGATTTAGTACAGAGAAATAAAGAAGGGACTTCTATATGTGATGATGATATGTTTTTAATAGATTATGGAGGCAGAAACAGAGTATAATTTCATATTGATCTAATAACTGTCATTTTCTGGTAACAGTTTTGTGCATAGTAAAAAATTTTAAGAAAGCAATTTGTACATTATATTAGTAGTTTCATCAAAAAATTTTATTTTATTGATGATTATGTATACAGTAGAGCATCGTTTATCCAAATCAATTGGGGACTGAGGTTGTTCGGATAACTTATTTTTTGGATAACCGACTACGTACAAAAAAATTATTAATCTATCCCATGTTGAAATTTTTCTCTGTTGCATGTTGCTTCCCATTGAATTTTCATCGATGTTAAGCCTAATGTAAACTTTTTAAAATAATAATCGTGGCTATTGTATCGTTAAAAATTATTTCTTTATTTTTTACAAACAAAATAAATATATTGAAAAATATAAAAACCAAAAAATATATACTTTAAAGTTGATCTAGTATCAAAAACGTTTGATTCAGCACGACACACAGTCCTCAGAAAAACACCACACAAAACTGCCAGTGCTGCCAACTAAAACACACACACCAACAAAAAAAGTATTGGAGTAGCCCAAGATATAGCCAAAGATTGTAGCATCACAGCACTAGCGAAAATTTGCCGACTGGAATGCTTTCTGTTAACTGATGTTTCGGATAACTGGCTTTTGGATAAATGATGCTCTACTGTATTCAATTTTTAAGAAAATATTAGCACTTTGTGTGATTCTTTAATATATCTAACATGCCATCCAGATGGCTGAGACAGTTAACGAGTCAGCCTATCACTCTGGGAAACTTAGGTTTGAATCTAGGCAGGTTGAAAAACCTCAAATTTTTTGAGGATTGGTCTGATATGTTAGCCCTGTCCCTCATCATCTGGCTGCCCTCATTGTAAGCTGGTAGGCAGAAAAAGACACTCTTAGTCCCCAAAGGGTTAGAAGAATAAATATATATATGTGTACATGAAGTAGCTTATAATATTAAAAAGTAAGTTGTTTTAGTTTTGACTTTGTGATTTTATATTGATTTTGCTATATTTACATGAAAAAATTATACAATATTTAATCATCTATATATATATATATGTAAATGAGGATATTTGTTTGTTTGTTTACTATACACTCCTAGGCTGTTTGACCAATTGCTATGAAATTCAGCAGTTACATTCAAATAAATACTCTTAACTTAGATCATGTTGTACAGTACATCCCACCCCAAATTATTGATTGGATTTCTATATATCAATTAATTTCTGTCTACATTCGATTGCTGGCTTTACATGTAGTACCATATATTGGAAAAAAATTTAACAAAATAATAAACTAAATATAATTTAAAAAAATATATAGTATACTAGCAGATGAGCCCAGCATTACCTGGACAAAAAGTAACGATAGCAAAGATTAAGATTATTAGATTATAGCCAATCTTACTCGTTTTTTACTGTATGCAAGAATTAGGTCCCACTCTTCCAAGACTAATTAGAAAATTTTTACATTTCTGCTTACCACACCAGGATAATGATAATTAAGACTCACTGCAACCACTAACTGGTGCATAGTGCCACTAAGTAATGAATAATAAACGTTTTTGTAACTCTTTCTGGGTTCTTCTTCAGGTTTACTAAATTGGCAAAATAAGCTGGATCTTCCAGAATCATTCATAAATATAAATTTAAACATAAAATTGTACATTAAGGCGAAGAGTTAGAATAAAGCAAACTTATGTGCAGGCGCTCCCTGTGTCAACTTTATATACGATGGAACACTAAATATTGTTGAGAATTTTTAGAAGGGTCAAAAAATAGGTTTGATTTTCTGCATGAATGCAAAAAAGGCATTTAAAATAGTACAGTAGAAGCCAAGTTCTTCATGGTAAGCCTTAATTTTGTCCCTCTCCCCTGCAGGTGGGAATTTCGAAAAATCCTTTCTTAGTGTACGTTCTCATGACATACCCTAACTGTGTACCAAATTTCAACTTTCAACTCCTAACTGTTTGGGCTTTGTGCTTATTACTATTATTATTAACCCATCTTGATTATATTATAAGATTCACTGAATTACTGTGACAATGATATAGCATGAAATAGATGTGCCATTATGCCTTTACTGTAACAGGTAGCACATCGTACTTGTCTGCACAGAATGTAGTAATGTTTTGTCCCTGTATGTCATATTTTTCCTGTAAGTAATTGAGTTGTGCTGGTTATGTATCTAACTCTGCTCAGAGGAAAATTTTTGAATTGAAATAATGTGACTTGTGGTACAAATTGGAAGTTCATATATGGTTAATCTGGTTTTCTTTCTCTTATGATTTTCATGTCTAGTTTTAACTTTCATCTACCTAACTCCATTGTTGAGATTAAGGAAGGACAGAAGCAAATAGATGATAGTGGGAATTTATAGGTCTACAATTTTTTCAAATTGCAGTTCAATAATTTTTGTATAAATGCAGTATTTACGAGAACATACTTCCCACATAGTTCATACAATCTGTTGCCAAAATTTAAACACTTCATTATCACATAAAAGCAATTATTCTAGCATTTTTACAAGATTTTTTTATTTAAATAAGTCATATGAAATCTTTAAGACGTTAAGGTTAGCGACTTCGATTACATGTGGGGCCATTACAAACTATCCAACATGATCAATTTCAATTATTAATTATTAGTAATTACCAGTATTAATTAGTCATCATTAACCATCCTCTCTCCCAGGAGGAGGCGAATGACTATGTTTGGTCGAATTTACTTCAATTCCATTTTGCAACAGTTCTTTCTATTGGACTAGTGGTGTGGTAGCATTCGAATAGGAAAATTATTTTTTAAAAACATTTTGTGCAGGCTGGTAACCATAATATAAGGTTACCATCCTGCACAAAATATGTTTTAAGTGGATTTTGAGGGTGCAGAGTTTAAATATTTTGTTGTTTTTTGCAAAATTTGACTCATTGGCAGATTACCGTTTAATATTTGGCTGTGAATGGTACCATTTCTTAGGGTTAATATTAGAAAATATTTTGATATCTGAAAAAGTTAAGATACGTTTTTAATTGTTGTCTACTTGACCAATGAAATTGTGCCATTTCGTACCATCCGAGTATCACAATAAACATGACAATGGTAGGCTAAAATAACCAAACTCTTTATATGGGTTTTGTTTTTTAATGTTTGTTATATTATAGTATTTGATTTATATGACAAGAAAGTTTATCTTATGTAAAGATTTATCACACCAAGTGACCAATTTAATACATTTTAAAAATTCTTTATTCCTCTGCTGTGCACATTTTAAATAATTTTTAAATTGTGTTAGATTGGCAGTTGGTATGATAAACTTTTATGTAATATAACCTTTGTAAGTATAAATCAAATACTATAATATAAAATAATAGAAAGGTTAGAAGTACAAAATAATCTAATAATCTTAATTGTTGCTGTTGTTATTTTTTTACCCGAGCAATGCCACGCTTATCTGCTAGTTAATTAATATTTAAGAAAAGATTAAATGAATCAATAAAAATGTTATTTAGTTTCTGAAGTGGTGCAAGATAAAAACAAATGATATATTTTTTATTTTAATATAAATTTCATTTGGAATTTATCAG